TTTGCGATTTTGTGTATTTTAAGAGATAATTTGAGATGGGATTATATTATCTATTTAGTCATGGCTTTGAGCACCTTAGGAGTATTTGAAATTACGCGATATTAGTCATTTATTTACATACTTTAGTAATATTAGAAATGACGGAATATAGTTTTTTCTCCCATTTTGAATAGATAACTTATAAAATTATGAAGACTACTTAGTGCCACTGATACATTCGCATATAACCAAGTATATTTACGATAACGTAATATTATCTACCAATTCATGCACGCATTATCCACCATCTAACCCCCCCTTCCCCCTTCTCCCTCTCCCCCCGCAGGCCCGGAGTAAGAGTGGCTCCGTCGACGCCGTTCCCAAGAGCCAAGCAGGCAAGGGCGGCACTGCTCAGAAGATCGGCACGCCCTCCAAAAACAACAACAACAAGCAGGTGACCAAGCCGTCCGCCCAGAAGACGCAGGTCAAGCAGGCACCCTCCAAGCAGGTCCAGCAGACGAAAGGAGCGGGCGGCAAGAAAGGAAAGAAGGGCCACAAGCATCAGCAGTACGACCTCATCGTGACCATCGACCTGGTCAGTTCTGCTTTTTCCCGTTTTTTGTGTGTGTATTTTTTTTTTTCTTTTTTTTTTTTTTAGGGGGATTTTTTTTGAGGTGGTTAGGAGAGAGTGAGAGGGGGGGGGAGAAAGAGAGAGAGAGAGAGAGAGAGAGAGAGAGAGAGAGAGAGAGAGAGAGAGAGAGAGAGAGAGAGAGAGAGAGAGAGAGAGAGAGAGAGAGAGAGAGAGAGAGAGAGAGAGAGAGAGAGAGAGAGAGCGAGAGAGAGAGAGAGAGCGAACGAGAGAGAGAGAGGGGGGGTAAGGAGGGGGGAAAGTGAGGGAGAGGGAGAAAAAAGGTAAATTGAGGAAGGAATGAAGGAGGGAGGGCAGGATGTGTGTGTGTGTGTGTGTGTGTGAGAGAGAGAGAGAGAGAGAGAGAGAGAGAGAGAGAGAGAGAGAGAGAGAGAGAGAGAGAGAGAGAGAGAGAGAGAGAGACAAAGAACGAAGAGAGAGAAAGAGTTAGATTATAGAAACACACAAAGATAAAAAAAAAAAAGTTAAAAAAAAACAAAAACACAGACACCAGGTAGTAAAGATAAACACAAACGCAACACAAAATCCCACCACCACAACCCAAACACCCATTCTTAGACTCAGTCCCACCAATAATAAAAACATTAAACCGAAGACGCTTCAGTAGCAAGATATCCAACGCCTCTCTCACCACGCCCTCCCTCTTCCTCCTCCTCCCGGTTCCTGCAGGTGGAGTACGGACTGACAGACGACCTCGTGGCTGAGTTCAAGGAAGCCTTCATGCTCTTCGATAAGGACGAGGACGGCATGATCACGACGGCGGAGCTCGGGGTCGTCATGCGCTCCCTTGGTCAGCGCCCTTCAGGTAAGTGTCGGTCTGAAAATGTTCTGTGAATGTTCTGTTATTTCTCAAGGTCTCTTTGAGAATTTGAGAATTTCTGAAGATGTCGCTGTGAATGTTTTGTTATTTCTCAAGGTGTCTTTGAGAATTTTGGTCATTTCTGAAGATGTCCCTGTGAATGTTCTATTATTTCTCAAGGTGTCTTTGAGAATTTGAGAATTTCTGAAGATGTCCCTGTGAATGTTTTGTTATTTCTCAAGGTGTTTTTGAGAATTTTGGTCATTTCTGAAGATATACCTGTGAATGTTGTCTTATTTCCCAAGGTGTCTTTGAGAATTTTGGTCATTTCTGAAGATGTCGCTGTGAATGTTGTGTTATTTCCCAAGGTGTCTTTGAGATTTTTGGTCATTTCTGAAGATATACCTGTGAATGTTTTGTTATTTCTCTAAGTGTCCTGAGAACACTGTATTCTTTTGTAGATGTCTCTAAAGATGCTCTGTTATTTCGCTAGGTGCTTCTAAGGATGTCTAAGGATGGTAGATGTCTCTGATATTCTTGTTATTTCCGTAGATGTCTCTAAATATATTGTTTTTTCTGGGTGTTTCTGAAAATGCTCTGTTATTTCATTGTGTGTCTCTGAAAATATTGTTATTTTCTTGATATCCCTTGAGAAAATAGTCATTCTCTGTGTGTCTGAGAATATGTTGTTGTTTGCAGGGTATTCCTGAAAATGCAGTTATTTTTTAAGTGTTCCTGAGCATTTTTGTCTAGATTTTCCTGAGAATATTGTTATTTTTCTAAATGTCCTTGAGAATATGGCAATGCTCTAGGTGTTTCTGAGTATTCTCTTTCTCTCTCTCTCGCTTTCTCTCTCTCTCTCTCTCTCTCTCTCTCTCTCTCTCTCTCTCTCTCTCTCTCTCTCTCTCTCTCTCTCTCTCTCTCTCTCTCTCTCTCTCTCTCTTACTCTCTCTCTCTCTCTCTCTCTCTCTCTCTCTCTCTCTCTCTCTCTCTCTCTCTCTCTCTCTCTCTCTCTCTCTCTCTCTCTCTCTCTCTGTAAAGTCCCATGAGAACAAAATTATTCTTCAAGGTTTTCCGGTGAATATAACCATATTTCCAGGTATCCTTGAGGATATATTTATTTCTCTAATTGTACTTTAGAATATAATTATTCTCTAAGTATCTCTGAGAGTATAGTTGTCTTCTCTAGTTATTTGTTTTAAGTGTGTGAGCAGAATATAGTTATTTCTCAAGGTGTCCCTGCGAATATAGTCAAATCTTTAGGTAGCCCAGAAAATATATTAATTTCTCTTGGTGCCCCTAAGAATGTAGTTATTCTCGAGGTTAAGTTGTTTTTTTTATAAACAGCGTTCTTTTTCTGCCGTATTTCTAAAAGTAGATATTTCTCTTGAGTAACCTGTCAGTCATAATACTGTTACTTCACTGTCAGATTTCTCTAGTAGCTCCTCCTCTCAGATCACAAGATCTCTAAATTAAATATCTAAGAATATCTAACTGTTATTCCCTTAACTCAACGTCTGGGATTATGTTTTCTACATCTATGCTTCGTAGAAACTTCGATAATGGAGTTTAGGTAGATGGCAGTTCGATGTGTTCGGCCTGTCTACTGAGAACTAACTAAAAGCACCCTTATATAGGCCTCCAGCTCCTCCCTAATCGAGTGTCGTGCTTGCTGCTGTCGAGCGAGACCCGGCACCCACGCAGGTAATTGCTCCACAAAGTGACAGCGACAGGCGGGCGAATATGCCAGCTATCTGTCATCGTATCCCGCCCGTGAAGCATAGAAGGACCAGGCTGTCATGTGGATACTTGTGTGGGTGCGGGTCAAAGTATCCCCTCTGCCTCGTCAGGGTGGACGGGGCGCTGTCAGGGGCGTTTCACATTTTAGTCGTTTGTGGTTGATCGCAACATCTGCAATACGTCCATCACGTGTCAGTCAGCGAACGCACAAAGCGCTGATCTCGCTCTGCATTTTGCTGTGAATTTATACCCGGAGTGTAAGACAATGGTAAACGCTCATAATTATAAACTCGGGTGCCATTGCTTATGTATTCATGGCATGAAAATGAATTCCGAGAAGCGGGCAATACAGTAAGTTATAAACTGTGCTTGATGCAACATGCACCGCAGCGACCAACAGCCCTGGCACGTGAACGGGAAGTTTCGAGCTGTGCGGCGCCGCGCCAGCCCAACAGTTCTTTGATAGGTGAAGGGTTGGGGAGGGGAGGGTGGGAAGAAGGAAGAGGAGGAAGGGAGGGAGTCAGGAGAGGAGGGTAGGGGAGGAGGGAAATAGGAGAGGAAGGGGATGGAGCGAGGGAAGAGAGAGTAGGTAGGGGAAAGGGAGGGAACGATAAGAGGAGGAGAGAAAAGAGATGAAAGAAGGGGAGGGGGATTGGGAAATCAGATCACTGCGCGTCAGGATAGATATACTCTTGCAACGCAGCTACCAAAAATTATCGTTCATGCAATAGAATCTAACTCTCGTTCGGGATGCTAATAATAGCGACAACTTCTCCGTTAAATCATAGACTCCAATACGTTCCTCTTAAATCCCCCATTATTAGCGGTTTACGGCGTTGAAAGACCTTGTTACCCGTTTACAGTGTTCTTTGTTACAAATTAATGGTCATGTCCGTCATGAAGAAAAGTAGCGTGCCTTTGTCTGCTAACGACTGGAACAGCTGTTTGTGTGGTTATGTTATGAATGGCCATCTTTGTATCTCATAGCATTAATAAACATGTCGGTTATGATACTTTATGATTTCAAGTGTCAGCAGTCCATTATTTTGTTGTTGTCTGTAAGAGTCATGACTGTTGTGTGGCAATAGCATCAGATAACGGTAATATGATATAAAACAGCACTTGAGTGTCAGTTTTTTATAGTTGATGCCTTTTATTGTTTAGTATTATGATCATAATACAGTATCTGTGTATATAAGTCATGTAACCTATTCAAGACATAAATCTTTACGTTCCCTCCGTATCGCAAAAAACTTAACTAGTAAATAAAAAAATAATTAAAAAATACAATAAAAAAAACATTTAAAAAAAAAACAAATAAATAAAATAAAAAAAACGAATCTCAGAAACGCCGTTTTTATGATAAAAACCGTTTCCTGTAACCGCGGCTATACGCATCTCAGAAATCCTTTCTCTCATAAAAAGACTGAACTTTATTTAACGGAAGCTTCCTTTTTGCAGAGACGGAACTACGCAAGCTGGTGGGCGAGGTGGAGACCTGCGCCGACGGCACCATCGAGTTCAACGAATTCCTGCAGATGATGAGCAAGAAGCTGAAGGACATCGGGAACGGAGACGAGCTCAAGGAGGCCTTCAAGTACGTTCAGGGCGTCTGTGTGTGTGTGTGAGTGTGTGTGTGTATGGGGGTGGGGGTTGTGTGCGTGTGTGTGAGTGTGTGTGTGTATGGGGGTGGGGGGTTGTGTGTGTGTGTGTGTGTGTGTGTGTGTGTGTGTGTGTGCATGTATTGGGGTTGTGTGTGTGTGTGGGGGGGGGGGTGCATGTGTAGGGGGTTTGTGTGTGTGTGTGTGTGTGTGTGTGTATAAATATGTATAC